TGCAAGATCCAACGTCAAAGAGGCGAAGGAAATCGATAGTGTAAAAATAAGGCACACGTCCGAAGCGGTGCTAAGGGGGCGAGTTCAATACTCCTGGGCGAAAATTTCATCAGCGAACCTCAAATGGGATAGTTAAATTCCGGGGATCGACTAATTTGAATTCTTTTATGAAAGTTTCCTGCCGCTCCGAAGGTTCCACCGACTCGATAAAGGCGGATTCTTCGCAGACTAGTAGTCGACGCAAAAAAATCGCAGGGGGGAACCGGATTACCCGCTTCATTTCAATTAACCGTTCGATAAATTCGGATTGAATTTACGAACTTGCTCGATTCCACGCGAAACAGAAATCCTTTATCCGGCTGAACTCGCGCAAGGGAAATTCCTGCAGCTTCCTTCTCCCTCGATTTTCTCCTTATATATCGGATCGCGGCGAACATTATCGCGTATTATCGGTGACCGTCGCGCGAACGGCTCTCGAGGAAAATCGTCCGGGACCGGAACAGGTCTCGTAAAACTCCTCGAAATCATACGCTCGGTTAAATTTCCGGAAAATCGGATCCAATCGAACCGCGCCACCGCGAGCATAGACATCCTAAATAACGTTGGAGAGCTTCCAGCGTAGAGAGTGCGGGGGTGGAACGACGCGGATGGATCGACGGATCGTTGGATGGAAGGAGGACACCCCAGTCGAGTCCCAATTACCGACTCATGGATGCGATATCTGAGTCCGTCGACCTGTCGAGCCGTCTCTAACAAAGTCGCGCGCTACGACGATAATCTCGTAATCGATACAGGTGTCACTCCACGCCGAATTTCCCTCTCGTCGCCTGTTCCTCCCGCGACACGGAGTTATCCTAATTTACGTGGAATCGTTCGAGATAGCTACGCGTACGATTAAACCGGTCGCGAGAGATTCCACAGACACGATAGCAGAAGAGCGAGGAGCACTGGTTCGCGGCGGAGACGGATCGCCGACGCGTTCGAAGGGAAAAAGTTGGCCGTGAGCTTTGGGGGAATGTATACATTTCAGCGGGTAGCATCGATATCGGATGCAGAGATAAAGTTTAAAAGATCGACGCAAAGCACGGTTGCCGCGTAGATATAAAAGAATTTCCTTTGCGAGTGGCCGAGACACGGACGGAAAAATATTTCACCTTCGTTTCTGAGAGAAAGAAGCCGGCTACCTCGGAACTACTGCGTTTCCGTCTACGTTGTTACTTAACACTCCTTATTCGACGGCGTACCCGGCATGCCTCGGAGTCAAGTTCCTCTGAAAAGTCGAATAAGCAAAGGCACGCACACCCTTTGGCGTTTAATCTTCTCGATTAAAGGGAGAGCCGCGGCGAGCTTGCGAGAAATTATACGCGTAATTTCGATTCTCCGGTCGATGGGACGGGGCCGAACGCGGAGGGAAGGCAGATATCGATCAACGCGGATCGAAGCGCGGGGTAAAAGCAGCAACCCGGGCAACCCCTTATATCCGTAAGGAATCCAAATAAGTTTTTCCTCGATGCTCCAATCCAATCCGGGCCGGTTGATTCTATCTGCTCGCGCGGAAAGTGCCTTTTTCCCAGGAGGCGATAGTCGCGTGGTTCTTTGCGCTCGCCGAGGCGTACGTACGTGTAGATGCTGATAAATAAGTAACGTGGTGAATTCTCTCAAGCCGGAAGTTCAATGGACTAGCAGACCCATCTCGGGTATAGCCGTTCGCGCTTCGTCTTTGTTCCGCGGCTAATAAACTTAAGAGCACCATTCTTCTCCTTCAGCTTCCTCCGGCGGCTCTAATCCGTCTTGAATTAATAAATTATCGCGCGCTGCGAGCTTTTGCATATACCCCTCCAGCGTCGCGAACGTTCCGTTGCTTCCGCTCGTACCGGCCTGGCGGATACCCGGGAAGTATACAAGGGGGAGTAAGAACGCCGGACCAACGGCGAGAGTGGTCCACTCGCTATCGATCATCTCCAGGGCCATTACTTTCCTCCGATATACGATATTCCAGCGTAACGTCGATGGATCGTCGCAATTGGTCGCGCGTCCGAGAATCGATCGCGGACGCCTCGAAGGACTGCGTTGTCCGCAAGGAATCCCGATAAGTCTTCTCATCCTCTGCCGGGCGCAATTGGCGAGTGCCGCCGATTCTTCGCGTCGACGCGAAAGAACGACGCCTTTCACCGCGTCCAACGATGAGCAAACGAAGCGGGAGAGAGAGAGAGAGAGAAAGGGAGAAAGGGAGAAAAGGGATAGAGAGGTAGCCGACACAACGGACCGTCGGATCGACCGTGAGAGAAAAGACGAAAGAGCGGTGGCGATACGAGAGGGAAGAAAGCGGCGGGTAAAAGGTAAGGAAGAAGGTTCGGTCGAGGAGGTGGCTCGTCGGGTCCTTTACACGGGGTCGAGAAAAGCTACGTGCGAGAGCTGATAAATAAATAACGCGGAGCGGAAAGGAGAGTCGGTGAAAAGTGAGAGACTGCGAGAAGAGCACGGTCAAGAGGCAAGGATGGTAAGACGGTGAAGAAAAGTAACGCGAGCCCGTAAAAGAGAATCAATTCGATTCCCCGGCCGCATCTCCGCCCCGCGACCCCTATCGTTTCGCCTTCTACCCTCCAACCCTCTCGAACTCTCACTGTCGCCGTCAAATCTCCTTCTCTGCCCGCCGTCGCGTCGTTTTTCTTCGCCCGCCGCCCCTCCGCAACCACCCCAACCCTCGGTTTTTCCACGCTTCCGAACCTGCACACGCCTGTTCCTTCCTTCCTTCCTTGGCATCGCCCATACTCCTTTTCCGCGCAACAAGTGCGCCCCGACTCACATCTTTAAGAAAGCACCCGCCCCTCCTCCCTCGTTTAAGCCACCATCGCCGCTGCTAACACCACCGTCGCACTCCACCTCCTGCCTTCTACTTCCTTTTGCTCTCTTCCATCCTCTTTCACTCTCTCTCTCTCTCTCTCTCTCTCTCCCTCGCTCCGTCCAAGCCACCCCAACCCCTTTGGCCTGGCCGCAACTACCTTCCAAATCACTCCACGCTCTTTCCCCGCTATTTTCCCCTTCGCGATAGCACACGCTCGGAAACCGACTGGCAACCGCGAGGCCCGTGCACGCTCGTCCTCTGCATTCCACGGACCAACGTGTCGACGATCTCGTCTCTGTGTACACGTGTCTCCTCTTTCCACCCTCCTTCTCACCCCCGTCCGCGCGCAGAGTGGGAAAGTGGCGAAGAAAGTTGGCGGAGACAGTGGCGTCGAGAGACGAACTTGGCGGCTCGGATAACGCGAATTCGATGTTCTCGAACGAACCGATTTTCCGCAGGATGAAAGGAGGGTGGAATCTCCGTGGAAGGAGCGCGTCCGCGCGTTTTCCGCCCCGATAGAGGGCCAATGGAGGAACGCGACGAGTCGTGCTCGATGTCCTTTCGCGAGGAACGAGGCGAAGAACGAGGCATGGCAGGGCGAGAAAACACGGGAACGGTATATCCGCGGACGGTGTCGATTAAAAAGTTTTTACGAGCGTCGGGGGTTCTGAGTGGCGACGTTGCAACGCATTCGTAGCGATATTCAATATCGAGCAACTTTTTCAACGCGGCCGTAAACTTGACTCGAAAGTTTATATCGTGCCGGTTCACCGGAGTCCGGCGTTTAATTACGCGAAAGCCCCCTGGCTTTTCTTTAACGTTTCTTCGGGGCAACTGAAAGATAATGGCGGAGGAAGGACGGAGAGAGTGGCGAGAAGGGGGAAGGGAAATGATACCTGGGGGAAAGCCGAAAGCGAAGATCCGACGGCAACAAGTATCGTCTACGGGATAGCTACGTGTTTTTCCAACCGAGCTCGGATTGTCATCGGATGGAATACGGTGAATTTATCGACGATTTAATACCCCCAGGGACATTTATAGGAGTGCAATAAATAAAGGCCAGTCGCTCGCAGCCGATGGCAAAGACATCACCGGTGGGTTCGATCGGCCGCCAAACGAAATTACTCGCGAGGATTCGAGCACGGAAGTTTCCAGCTGGATCGCGGAACGACGGCATTTAAATAACCTAAAAGGCAACTTCCGGTAACGAACTTTTATTTACGAGTATCGTTCGCTCGGAAGGCGATTATCGGCTGGCTCGACGCCGCGTTTCGAGCCGAGTTATTAATCGATGACCGAGGCACGTACGATCGTCCCGTCATTCCGGCAAGGGGAAAGTTATTAATGATCAAAGTTGCTCGAACGAAAACGGATAGTCGGGCACGAAGTTACTCTTCTTGGATTGGCTTACAAATTACGAGAGATGTTGCCGAGATAATGGATTCCGAAATAAATGAAACTGGCGTCCATCATTTAAACGGACACCCGCGGTGCTTTCCACGCGTGATCGAGCAACGGCGAGCGGATCGTCGAGTGGCAGAAAATCGATCGCTCGACACTTGGACTGCAAACGGATTCGAGGCTCGTCTCTCTGTCGAGGCAAGAGGAGAGTTGGAAAACGAGCGGAGAAAACGCGCGTTTTCGGCCCGTTTCCCGTAAACGCGAGGAGTGACCGTGAGATATTAAAACTTTCCCGCTACCGCTGTCCCTTTTGCCCTCTTTGACGGGGGAGAGACGAAAACGGACAGTGTGGTTGGAAGAATAACGGGGAAAAGTATGGCGGGACGCGTGCCGAGCAACGTGGTCGTAAATATTTCGAAGGAAATCAAATTGGCGCGTTAAAGAGAGAAAACGGGGAAAATGATTTCTCCCGTGGGGGGAGAGGAGTCGGTTTATTGGCGGAGTACGTTCCGCGTTGCTGGAAAACGCGGCGACGTCTCTCATTTTCTCGCTTCGCGTTCAGCGACGCAAATATTTACTCGGCTAAACGCACTTCCCTTTTCCCCTTTGCCGCGAAACAGGCATATCCCCCACGGTATTGCCTGGCTCCGGACGGCGAAATGGCCGACGGTCGAAACACGACGAAACGAAACGGTCCGGCGGCCATGATTTCCAACAGCAGCGGCGCAACCGAGAGATTTGTGTTCTTACTTACCGCGGACAAGGATGAGGGTGCTGGACAGAAGTACGATTCTCAGCGGCCAACTGGCCATCCTGGCGTAGACCGTTACGTCGATTCAGCTTCCTCCTGAAACAATACAAGCGTGCCCAATCAATCAACCCATCCATCCCAATCCGCTATCCGCGTATCCCAGCCAACTCTAGCCCGTCTTTCTCTCTTCGACCCGACCCACCCTCTTCTCCGCTGCTTTGTCTCTCTTTCATCCGTCCCTTTCCCTAACCCTCTCTCTTCCACTCTCTCTCTCTCTCTCTCTCTCTCTCTCTCTCTCTCTCTCTCTCCCCCTCTCCCCGTTCCTCTCCCTCGCCGTTTCATTGCATACCCACGATCGGACCTCATCCCACCTTTCGCCCCGTCCTTTCTGGCAGACTGCCCGTTCTACACTCTCACCCCCGAGCCACCCTATTCCCCCTTCGCTTCGTGCCCAAACCCCAACTCCGTATCGACAATTTTTTTCCTCTCGAATCCGTGCCTAGGGGTTTGTCCGCTCAATGAAAGTCCTCCCAGACGGTGCGCGTCATGCGACGTACATAATCATAAAACACGCGATGCGTACCTGCCAGCCGATCGTTTTTGTATACACGTCGATACTCTTATTCTTTTCCCCTTTCTCCATTCTTTCCTCCTTTCTCCTTTTTTATCTCTCCACCTTCCCCTCTCGACAGATTTTCGAACGCGCGTACACACAACCTGCACGACAGGTCTCTCCTGTCTACCCCTTGCGCTTCAAGGGAACGTGTCTCCCGGCGAAGAAACCGCCGATGAAGCCCCCTGTCGCTGCGTCTATCGGCTGCACGTTCTGTCGGCTGAAACGAGACACACGCTACAACGGACGCGTGTTTTTTTCGCGAATGTTCCGGTCGAGAGCCGCGAAAGCTATCGCTTTGATCGCGCGGCCTTTCAAAGCGGGCAAGGATAAATTTCGTCGGGCAAACGCGCAAAGGAATAGGTCGCGTCCCGCAAAAGAGAATATAAATACAACGCCCACGTTGTATTCTATTTATCAGTTTAGCCGTTCGTCCCACACTCCGACGCTTCCTTTCTCCATCCGCGCGGCCCGAATATCCAGCGCATTTTTTCTCGCCCCGATTTTTCACCGGCCGACTCGTATGCACAAGCGTGCACGCACCGCTAACTCCGACGATTCGCGCACTCGCGTTCGATTCGTCCCAGTCCGGAAGAAAGGGACACGGTTAACGACCCCGGCCGTGTCCCAGCGAAACCCAGCGTCACGGCATTCGCGTCCCCTCTCTTCGTTCCTTTCACGAATTCTCAGGTTTACCTGGCTCGTCGCTCTCGCGGCTGGAATCTTTTCGTTTCAGCCGAGAGTCGCGTCGAGATTTCGTAACCATCGACCGAGACAAAGGTCGCCGAGACGAGTGGTTGATAACGTGACGAGGAACGGGAACCGGAAGTTGGTAGCGTGTCGACGAGCGTGCACAGCGTGAGGGACGGGAAGACGGGTCCGCGTTATCGAAAACGCGAGGCACGGTGATACGCGCGCGCGAGAGGCAGTACTCGGCGCTTTATAAAGCCGTACAGTGTAAATACGCAACATATTTACTAATTAGCGAGGTGTAAAGAGACCGAGAGTAAGCTGCCTCTAGCGTCATTAAACTACGCTGAGAGGACGCAATGCGGCGCAGCTGCGTTTGCTTAACTGTATTTTACTATTGCAAATACGATTTTGCACATTAATGGGAGAACGACCACCCGCCCACCACCCCGGCTCTACGCTCCGCCCCCGTGGCAAAATATACTCGGGACAACGTTAACAGAAGCCGGTGCAATAACCCTGGCACACTGTTTAACGAAACTCTTACCACGGATACGCGGAAAATTTACGCCCCGGCAAGAAACGCGTTGACGAGGAATTACGAGTTTGAATTCGAACGCCAAATACGAAGATGGTGGACCGTAGATCAGCGATTTCGAACGCTGCCCGGCCGTTTTGCTTATACACGGCTTATATCTCGCGGGTGAAATTTGAACGAACGTTTAAATTCGCGAGGAGAAATACGAGGATGAAAGGAAAAAGTGGCACGCATCTTCGTTTCGCGACTCGTTGACCCACAATCTTCAATCGCGACGCCGGAAGGACGAGTGACTCGATACGGGGAAACGAATACAGGCACTTCAGCGGGAAACGAAATAACTGTACTTTTTGCCATTTCTTACAGGCTTCTACACGCTGGCTGATTCAAAGAGCTGGAATTTGGAGCGTAAAATCGTTTGATTCGCTTCACGGCCCTGCCGTCACGTTTGCCCCTCATTCTAGTCTTACACTCGCTCGTCTCGCCGCCAGAGACCACCTACACCCACCGCCCTCGCTCTCGTACCCTTCGTTTCAGCGAACCATCTAGCCGGTTTCACCCGCATTCGAACGTCATATGCAACCTACCTCGTCCTTCCACCTCGTCCGAGTTCCCCTGTCCCTCTCGCTTTTCACTGTTCTCAGCGAAAAAACCCACGCGAAAAATACCTCCCGCTTTTTCCATCTCGCCATTCAAATCCGGCTAATTCCGACAGTGACGGAGCCCGTGCGTACCGTTCCAAACGAATTCTCGTTTATCGTTTTCCGTGCAATTAGCCCCCCAGTCGCATTCCTGTTTCGTAAATTTTCCCTTCCTTGCACGTCCCTCGAATACCCCTCGGATATCGCTGGAATATCCCTCGGATACCGGGCGCCTGGTTCGTCGGCGATTTTTTTGCAAATTCTTGGCATTCAGCTGCGCGCGGGGCGGCGTCCGATATCGGGGAAGACGTTCCCTCCTCGAATGTTCGGAAGATTAAAGAAGTTTTTGCGAGATGGCTCCACGGAGGCCGGAGATGGAAGAGGACTTGGACTCGGTCCGAAGATTGGGTCATCCGCGAATATATCCGTCGACGGGATCGAACCGGGTAACACATTGTTCTCGCGGCAGGGGTAGAATTACCTTTATCCGACCGTGGATGAAACGGAACCGGGAAGCAATTCCCTTCGGTTCGCAATTAAGTTTACGAACGAGCGAATGGACGCGCCATTTCCCCGTCGCGGAGAGATCACGAGATCGTGAAACGCGAGGCCGATTTTCGGAACACGACGAAAGTGCCGAAGAAAGTAGAGAAAAAAAGGAAGAGGACGCGAGTCGAACGCGAACATGTTCGCGCAGCAGCCGATTTTCTGGTCCCGGAAAAAGTTTCGGGTCTTCGAGTTCACGCGGCGCGCGAAAAATCGTGACGAGAAACGGAAAAAGAGGAAAACAGCCGTGAAACGTTCCCAAACCTTTGACTCTTCCTCTCTCTCGCTCTCTCTTTCCCATGATCGGGCCACGGCGAAAATCGTTCTCCCTGGTGCATGTAAAGCACGTACGCGGGCTAGGGAAATCAGTGTAACGCGCGAGAAGGAGGATCGAGCGCGATGTGTCGGGAGGCGAAACGTGATCGACGTAAAAGGACACGGGAAGCGGGACGAAACGGAAAGAAGCCTCGGTGGATGTTGCGACAGTTGCGCGGCAGCCAAGGCGACGATGTACGGACGTAATTGTGGCGCTAAAAGCAATTTCCCGGCGCGTAATCGTTTTAGCAAAGTGCTTTGCAATTTAGCGAGTCTTTATTAAAATAAAGTCATTTCCAAGCCGGTACTTTATGACTGTCTACCTATCTCCTAATCGTTGGCCATCGACCAAGCGCTTTAACTGCATCGATTTATCGACCGGCCGAATTTTCCCGTATCCATTAGAACCCGGCCAGCTATCGTCGCGTAAACCTGCTTCCTCCAGTTCGTCGAATTCACTAGTCAAACGGTTTCGCGTGAAAACGGGGGGCAAGAGACAGAGCCAGAGGGGTAGATTCGGTTGGCTCGTGGCAAACGCGTACGATCGAAACGCGATGGTAATTAGAAAAGCTGCGGCGAATAGGGTGCACGACCGCGTTCGCGTCGGGAGTGAACTATAATTTAATGTACTCGCGTTATATTCGAAGTTGAAGCGGCAAGTGGACGTCGTCGTCGCGATGTAACGTAGCGCACGTATGTACATGGAAGCGTTCATATCTCTCGGGCTAACCCTTGTTTATACAGAATTCATAACCGGGAGAGAACAAAAGAGCCTCGTAACCCGGGTTAATATATCATTCCCTTAACGAGAGAATCTAAGTCCTTCTAATGGCGAGTTCGCATGTAACGGATGCAACAGCAGCCGTTATTACTTGCGCGCCCTTTTCGTTCGAATGGTAACAACCGTTCGGATCGTCCGTTTTTTCCTTTTCCTTTGCGTTTCGCTTCGTTTCGTTTCGTTTCAGGCCGAATGGACGGTGCGGAGGAAGGAAATGAAAAGCGGGGGAAAGAGGGTAGACGGAAAAGGAAAATTGCCCGGACGAAAACGCGTTATAAATGTTCATAAACGTTACGCGACGAGGCAGACGATCTGAAAGTTTGAAAAGTTTGCACGGCTACGTCCATTTGCCGCGGGCACGAAATTAATACGCCTGGCCTTGGCGAAAAAAGGATGGAAATAGAGAAAAAGAGAAGCAAGCAACGAGGGTAACGACAAAAAGGTACAGAGACAGAGAGAGAGAGAGAGAGAGAAAGGAAGAGGAAGAGAGACCATGGTGTTCTTCAACGACAGTTTCATTCCATCGTTGTCAACGTCAAGAGTATTCTTCTGCTTCGCAACTCGCTACCCCATACTTATCCATCACCTTAGCTCTTGCCTACAACGGACCCAACGATACTCTCCGACTATACTGCGTTCTTGCCGCGAGGATCTTGTCCTCGCCTGCAGCCTCGTCCGTTCCGACAATTTCATCGAGCTGAATTAATCATCGGGGCTTAAACGCGGAAAAAAATGTTGTCCGTTTAAAACCAATTTGTCCCCGGAGATTGCATCGGTAAAGAGGGTCTAAACCCCCTGAAAGTGCTCCAATTTATACCTCAATAATTAATCACCCTTCGTCCTAGGATCATCGAGGGAGGAAGAGAAAAAGAGAAGCGGAAACGAAAAAGGGAGAAATACAGAGAATTTTCCGAGCGGTAAATCGAGTGATAAAATTTCG